CTATGGTCACTGGTACCTTTCCAGCACAGCAAAGCGAAGTTTTTCCCCTAAGAAGAAAAAAAACCTGTGAAACTAAGACAACAAAATCTGCTAACTGAAGGAATCAAGGTAAGTGAAGACCCTGAGGAGAAACTGTTTTCTGGTCATGCTGAGAGGATACATTCAGATCACCTACAAGATTGAAATGCTGTGGATGGCATTTGCCTCAGAAGTGCCTCCCGCTGGTCCTGCATTCCTAGGAGGCTTAAGCCATAGGTTTGCCCCGTATTTCTCTCACAGGTAGGATGGTGTGAAGCTAAAATGCATGGTCCAGTCATTAATATCAATTCCACATCCTCCTTCTCCTGTGCTTCAATGCACTGAACCAGAGGCAGTTCCCTTCCTGGTGGCCCTGAAGAGCAGGACTGGAGCCTGGAGGCGCACATAGCCAGCACTGTGAGATGAACTTCTCCTCACATGTTTGCAGCTAACATAACGAAAACAAATTCTGGACAGAGATCTGACCAAACCTGTGGACACTAGCACCAAAATGTTTTGCAGAGATTTGCAAGTACTGGAAGAGATACATCTTGCTTAAAATGCTGGTAAATGGGACATGATTTTCTTACTACAGCAGACCTGGTCATCAGTTTTACAGGTTTCCATTCCACTTACTCTGCACACAGGAACAAGTCAGGCTGACTTGGAAACAATCTCTCTTTATGGTATTGCTTAAACAAAATTTAAAAGAAAAAAAAAAAAAGGAGGAAAAAGAAAAAAGTATAATACACTGAATGATGTAAAGCAGAAATATGAAGAATTTATTTTCAATACCTACACTCCCCATCTCCTTAAATACTTCAGGAAGACTAGGATTTTACACTTTTCTCCAGAATGCTCAGCCTTTTACCATCAATAGCAGCTACATCTCATGTCCTAGAGATTAGTATGATAAATACTCATAGCAGCCTTCCAATATCTGAAAGGGGTATACAAAGACGCTGGAGAGGGACTCTTCATTAGGGACTGCAGTGGCAGAACAAGAGGTAATGGGTTTAAACTTAAACAGGGGAAGTTCAGACTGGATATAAGGAAGAAGTTCTTTACTGTGAGGATGGTGAGGTGCTGGAATGGGTTATCCAGAAAAGCAGTGAATACTTCATCCCCAGTGTTCAACACCAGGTTGGACAGAGCCTTGGATGACATGGGTTAGTGTGAGGTGTCCCTGCCCATGGCAGAGGGCCTGGAACTAGATGATCTTAAGGTCCTTTGCAACCCAAACCATTCTGTGATTCTATGATGTACTAGTTTTCTGTCTCAGAAATGCCCAAGATCCTCTTAATAGAAAAAAACTGACTAAAGCATTAGTCAGTTTCTTAATGTTTCTAAGTTGCTAGAGGAAAGGTTCTTGCATGGGTTAAGTAACTGGCCAGACAGGAATATTGAAGAAAAAAATGCCAATACACACATCCCTTTTATTGATATGCAAATATCCCTACACATGACAAGCCTCACACATTTGGAAGAAAAAGCCCCAAAGCTTGAAGAGCTCAGCTTCATGACAATTGAGACAAGTCTTCAAAGCCACTTCCGTAACACCTCCTCTACCAGCCACTGGTGGGGCAAGTAGGCCACCCGCCCCCCCCCATACCTTAGTTTCAGAAAAATACATACATTCCTACTTTCCTACAGTGTTTTTATTCCTTGCATTGAAGATACTGAACTGTCAGAAGGCTGGTATGCCACAGTTACAGAACATGTTTGTCATTTTGCCACAGTTTGCCACTGTTTACGCACAAGGAAGAAGAAGATCATTTTCCTGGTAAAACAGCAAAAGAGAATTTCTCTTTTTGGGCTGGCAATCAACAACAAAAGCCTGCAGCTTTGTGGCTATCTCTGAAACAGTAAAAAGCAGCATTTTTTTCATCATGCTTTGACATTTTCCTGTTCACAGATGCGAAACCAGTGTTTTCTATTTATATTAAAAGCAAACATATTAAAGTACTACTCAGTAAAAGCAATAAAACACAAAAGTCATGTACAATGCTAGCAAATAAAAGATATTTACATTGTAATTTCACATTCTGACATCTCCTGTAACAAGAAAATAATAACAAACTTGCATTAAGACCTTCTGTCAGGGAAGAATGCCAATTTTTGTCTTTACCATTTGCACCTCAGATCTTGCCTACCTGTTCTTTTCAGATCTGTTGCTCAAGCATTCAACACTTTATGTGTTTCCTCCATTATCTATCTGCTCAAGCAAGATTATATACATCAATTGGGAGATGATAAATGGAGCGTGAAGACAGGTCACATTACCATGAAAATCCCCTCCTACAGGTAGTAAGCAAAGGAGAAAATCTCACAGAGATGGCAAACTTAATTTACTCTGCATGTCCCATTCTGCCCAACAGGATGACTCAGGTGTATCTCTGATCCATGAGCTACGGCATACGTGAATCTAGGAGGAGGACATACAAATCCAAGCGGGTGCACTTTCTGGTTTTAACAAGTTTCCTTCATCTTTGCCGGGTCACATGCTTCTTTTTCACCAAGAAGCCAGCAATACTTTGCAATCTATTTGCTTAAGGTAATGTAAAAAATGGGTGCATCAAACTAAAAACCTGATGGGAATATAATCACAAAGGACACGGTGTCTTTTGATTTGCATCTCTAAGGATGCAACTGAACTCTTCTCTCCCATAAAAGCATTTGAAATCCTTGGGCAAAATCCAATGTCTTAGTCATGCTGAGAGGCAGCAGCCAACAGCCTGAGTGCATTGGATGGTCAGTTGCTGGCTACAGAATTCAAATGCGGCTAAAATTGATGCTACCATCTGAGCCATCAGGGGGAGAAGGAGAGGGAAAAGGGGAGGGAGGGGATGGGTGGGGAAGGAGAGCAGTAAAGAGATTTTTCTCCACAGCCACTCCCTGCAGAAGACAAACCTATATAAAAGTAAGACTTAGTTAGATCTGTTCCTCATGGGACAAATATTTTTACTGAGGGAGGCCAAAGATGGTTTGGTTGTAGGCAATGCAACTGTATGCAGACTGCTGTTAAGACTTTGTGGACACAGGAAAATAAGTGTATCATGAGGCCAAATGGAAAAATACACAGCCCTGCAGCTGCTCTGTAAGTAACTCCTGGTACAGATGCACACTGAATCTGGTTTGAAAGACCCCATCACACATGCTTACTTCCTATTATGTGGCTCCAGGTGTTTAAGTATCAGTTGCAGTGTGACCCTGTGTGAATACAGAGGAAGAGGTGTACTGCCTGGGATGGCGAACTGGTTCAGTCCAACTTCCTGTTTCCTCCACAAGGGAACACCAAGGGAAGAAGGAATACAAGGGAAATACATGAGATACCTCTTCTGCAACACTCCCACAGCCTCCAACTGCTCTTAGCTCTGGGGATTTCCTGAGTCTGAGGGGGGGTGTTGGCTCCCTAACTCTCAATGCAGCCCTCTCCCAAATACATGGCAAATCTCCCCTGCACCCCAGAGAAACACCCTGTACCCAGAGTGCTATTTGAAAGGCACTGTTCACATCCACTCCTATGTGACTGCTCGAAGAACCATCACCTCTTGTTCTCCCACTACCACAAATCTGATGGTTTGTACTCAAAAAAGCCAGTTGCTGCCTACCCTCTCCAAGTTACTTAGGCATATCCTGCCTCAGCAAATTCTTCTGAATGAGAACTCTGAGCCTACTTAATTGTTCCTTTCAAGGGACACAAAGGCAGATAGCCGAGCATCCTTGTTATCCTGTTCCAGTGTTTCCTTTCAAGAAGCAGGAAGCACAACCAGGCACAGCTCTAATGGTGCGAGCTCACCACAGATCTGTAGAATGCCATAAATATGTTCCCTGTTTTGTTCTCTGTCCCCTTCCTTAAAACGTGCCTTGCTTTTCCAAACACCAAGCTAGTGTTTCTGCGGGGCACAGAGTCCCCCTCCTGAGGGGCAAGGAGCCATTTCAGATATCGCTATTGTTTCTGTAAAGTTAGGTCTAGGTTTCCGCACATACGTCATCTTGCATTTATCTACCCTGTATTTAATCTACGCTTTTACTGCCGAGTCACCCACATTCTTTAAAGATGACCCTCACCCCTGCTAACTTGAGAAAGTTTTGTGTAGTCAGCAAACATTCTCGTCTTGCTGCTCGCCATTTTCTCAAAGGGAGGGATGAGTTGCCAAGCACTGCTAAGCTGCCTCCCTGCACTCAACTACTCACACTGATGCTGTTCTCTGTGGCTATGAAATAATGCATGTCTCCACTTGCCAATTAATGAAGCTACTTTTTAATTCATGGCTACCAGCAGCCAAGTAATCTCGAGTATTACTTGGCATGCAGCACCTTGAAAAACTACTGAAAACACAGGTGACATTATGATTATTAAATCATGTGCACCCACTGAGCGATGTGTGTTTAGTATCAAATATGGGTATTATTCCATGAGCAGAGGAGTGCATGCGAGATAGTCTGTTACCCCTCTCTAATGCATACTTATCATTTTATTACCTTCTCATGACCATGAAAATTGTAAGCGCTGTATTTGATTCATTCTGGTTGAAGCAGAGATGGGGAGAATATTCTGCTGTGATTGCCCAGTCATAATGACCCTGAGAAAAAGCCAAAAAAAAAAAAAAAAGAGGCTCCTCAGCATAAATTTCTAAAACGGTTTCACTCAATAAAGCGCTAGTGCACTGCACAGATAGCTGCTGCCCAGCGCCAGTTCTGTTTGAGTGCCTTGCCTCTGAATCTGCTTTTGTTTGTCTTCTGATTTCCTTCTAATTCTCATTTTCAGTTTGTTTGCGTAATTAATAATGACCTTCTGCACTTAAATCCCTCACAGAGTGTCCCAAACTTGACTTCAGTTTAGCACAGTTTCAGTTTTTGGTTTGTGAATGAACTGTTTGTTAACCCCCAGCACAACTCAAAAGTTCATTATTCCCGAAATTTCCACTCATAGAGAGCCAGGGAGAAAAGACTGACACCCGAATAAAATCAGGAATCCACAGATAAGTTGTGTTTACTTTTCAAGCAGAAACTTTCCAAGCCACGTAGCAAACATTTTGCTTAAAACTACTTCTATTTTACTTACTTCTAATGCATTTATTAATCTCTCTGTAACTCTACCGTCGGTAAATCCAAAGGAGAGCGTAATGAGGCTGCAGAAATGTATGCTCATGCTGCTCCGTTTCGTAAGCTGCTTCCGGTAGGCCAGGATTACAATTTGAATTTTCATCTATTAAACACCTCGTGCTGCAGACCCTTCTCTGTGACCGTGAAAGGTGTCCGGACACGTTCATTGTGGCGACTTTCCAACTTTGCACAAACACTGAAAAGCAATCTTGCTGGAAGCGGGCAGTTTAGTATGACTCGGCTATTAATTTTTAAGGAGGAGGTTCTGTGATCTGTGACGAGACCAGTATTGTAATTGACAGGAGGAACTACCAACTGCTCATGCAGATATTTGAACCACTTAAGATGTCTTCATCCGCGTTTATATATATAGATATATAAAATATGTACGTATATTTAAAAAAATCCCAGAAGTGGGGTGTCCTTTTTGCAGCGTTCACAGCACACTCTGCCGGCTGCTGCCTAAAGTTAGTACCAGCCTGCAAAGGAAATCAAAATGTGTTTTTCGGCATAGCAGAAGCCCGGCTTATGCCGGGTAGTCGCTGCGATCAGGGAGGACCGGGACCGAGAAACACTGGGGGTGTTTTCTGAGGGCAGCGGGAACGGATTGGCAGGAAATCTCGTTTCGTGAGAGACCTTATTTTTGGGGGGTGGGGAGGACTACAGGGACACGACTCCTTTCAGCGCTGTAAGGTCACACCACTTCGGCATGGTGGCCGGAGCCAACATCTGCCCCAGCGCCGCCGTCCCTGTTTCTTCAAGGACGGGGCAGACGCTGCCTAACGGACGAGGGAGGGTCACTGGCTGTTGGGCATTAAGCTGGCTTTATATGAAAGTGGCTTAGAGCCACATTTGCATGACAAAGCCATTTACGTGTATCTCATCAATAAGGAAGGCTACAGGCTGCATTTGTTCTCTCCGGTCTCTCGCATCACGCGCAACCATTAAAGGTAGCGGCGGGAATGTCGGTAAGCGAGTCCGCCGGTGCCATGCTGAGCGCGGCGCGGGTCACCCGGTGCCCCGAGCAGCCGCCGAACCAGTTCGGTGTCTTTTCTTTTTTTTCGGGGCGGTAAAACGTGCTCGGGAGCTGCTCGGGCAGGCCCGGCAAGGCGCTGCCGCGGCCGCGCCCGGGGAAACCGGGGCCGCGCTGTCTGCGGGCAGAGGAACGGGGAATGGCGCGCGTGTGGAAAACCGGGGCGTCCCGGGCGGCGGGGCGCCGGGACGCGGCGCGCTGCGGGGTCGCTGCGGAGGGCGCGGGGAGGCGGACAAAGGGGGGATCTGGCGGGTGACGCTGCTCAGGAATTCCTGCCGCCGCGCCGGGCGGGGGGAAGGGAGGAACGGGCGGTGCGGTATCTGCTTTTTTTCCTCTCCACAGGGTTGCCCAAGCCCGCAGCGGGGGGTGCTGCAGAAAGCGCTCGAAGCGGCACACGCGGCCCAGCGCGGAAATCGCAGGGTCATGGCTCCCCTCCCCCTCCCCTCCCCACCCCACCCCACCCCAAAACCCGCACTGGGACCCAAAACCGGGTCCGCCGCTGCGGCGGTCCCCGCTCCTCGTCCCCTTCCCTCGGACGCCCCGTCCGTTTCCCGGACACCCCCCCACCCCAGCCCCTCGTGGCCTTACGCCACGCAGGCCCCCGCCCCGCCAGGCCCCGCGCACCCCTTTCCCCCCCCTCCTTTGCAACCCCCCCCCACCCGCCGCGGATCCCGGCACGCCCCGCGCGGCGGAGAGGCGGGGTCCGCCGTGGCGGTGCGGGGAGGCGAGGCGGCGGCTGTGCGCATGCGTGGGGGCCTCGCCCCTCTCGCCCCCTCCCCCGCCTCGCGCTGTGCGCCGGCGCAGTGCGGCGCGACTCGTGCGAGGGGAAGGGCGAGTCGCGGCTGTCGGAGCAAGGGGGGCATCCGCGCTGCTCCGCGCCTCCTCCGCCGCCATGGCGGGCGCGGCACCGGCACCAGCCCCAGCACCGGCACCAGCCCCCGACCCGGCGGCTGAGAAAGTGGAGACCTCGGCGGCATCGGTCGAGCGACCGTCACTTTCGACGGCAGTGCTGGCGAAGATGGAACGGAACCGGCAACGAGCGCTGGCACTGCGGCAGGCGCGGCTGGCGGCTCGGCCTTATCCTGCCGCAGGTCGGACGGCGCTGGAGTGTCCCGGCTTCGCCGGGGAGCTCCCCGCGCCCTTCTCTCTTTCCTTGGGGGGGGTGGGGGGCTGGGGGGGGGGTGGGAGAGCGAGCTTCGGGGCGGCTGGAGAGGGAACGGCTAGGGGGGGAAGGGGAGCGCGGGAGGTGTGGGGGGGAAGGGGGATAAACCGCGAGGCGCGAGGGCCCCCTCCCTTCCCCCACGTTGCTGGATGGGGGGGGAGGGGGGGGGAAAGGAGGTCCATGGCGCGCGCGCGCCGGGCCCCCGGCTCCGCGCGCGCAGGGGGGGGGTTGGGAGGAGGGGGGGGTGGGGGGGAGAAGAGAGGAATGGTGTGGGGGAAGGAGGGTGCGCAGGAGCGCCCCCTGCTGGCGGCGGCTCCAGCCGCGGCACTTAACGCGGTGTCTCGTTTGTCTTCCGCAGGCGCCCAGCGGGTGAGGGCCCCCGCCAAGGTCGTCGATACGGGAGGGGGCTTCTTCCTGGAGGAGGAGGAGGAGGAGGAGCTGGAGGAAGGGCCCGGCGCCGGCGCCGGGAAAATCGTGCATCCCCCCGGTAAAAAAAGCCAGAGACCCTCGGGGGAGGGAGCGGAGCAGGAAAGAGGCGGCGCCGAGTGCGCGGGGCTGGCGCGGGAGGGCAGGAAGGAGCGGGGGCAGCAGCGAGCGGCGGCATGGGCGGGAGGGCGCGGGAGAGAGGGCGCCTTTCTCTTTTTCCCGGGCTTTTTCCACCCCTTTCTTCTCCCCCTCTTTTCTCCTTTTTTCTTTTCTTTTTTTTTTTTTTCCGCTTCTTCTCCCCTCTTCATTTTCCTTTTTTTCGTTCCCCCTTTCTGGATGTGCTGAATTCCTGGCGCGTCCGAATTCTTTCAGCATTAAGCACGCGGTAATTAAAAATGGAGAATTTTAAGCCGCGGAAGTGGGACACAGCCAGTGCCCTTGGGTATATATAGCACGTTTCTTTTTTTTTTTTTTTTTTCTTCGATAAATCTTATTTCTACGATTTCTTTCGGGAATTGGAATTTTGAGAGCAAAGTAAGTGTGAATCCGCGGGATTTCGTTGGTTTTGGGAATTTAGAGGTTGATGGCGTTTATGCTGAGATGAGAGCACTGCTGCAGTGCCAGCTTTTAGCGTTATAAAACGTACTCTGACGCCAAATTGCTGATCGGTTGGTGGAGGATTTCAGCCCATTTGTCTAGTGATATTCTCTCTCCAAAAAGCAAATGGAGAAGTGAGGATCCCAAAATAGACCCATTTTCTTTGGGATTGCCTTTGTCTTGCTTTGTTCTGCTCTGAATCGGCTGCGGGGCTATTGATGCAGTATCTCTTTGTTAGAAATCGCCACCAGATTCATTAAGCTTGTAAATTATGAGCAGTTTTACTTCTTTTGAGGTATAAATGTTTAAATTAAGTGGATCTGGGATGCCTTTGCACGGGGGGAGGTGTTTTTTGCTGTGTAATTCTTGATGTCATTGTCTTAATAAAATGCCTCTACGGTCGGGAGTACTGCCTGAAATGATGAAATGTGATGTAAGAGCATGACTATGTAAAGTACTGAGCATCCCCCCCTGTCGCTTGCGGGGCTGAATTGGCATAAAATGTCGCGTTTGTTAGATCGAATCTGCTATATATGCAACCGTAATTAAAAATGTATGCTAGTGCATATCAAGCATTAATCTTATTTTTCAGGTATTGTTAAAACTCTGCGGCATTGCCTCACTTCTAGCGCGTGAAACTGTATAAAAATGTTAGAATTTTTGTTAGATTATAATGTTACTGCTGGAGGAGCGATTCCCATAGCTGCGGTGTTTCTCGGTGTCCCACGGAACGTAAAGCGGATGGCGATGACGCTGGAGGTGATCTGCCCGGCGAGGAAGCGTCCAGCAGCGGTAGCCGGCAGTGAAATGAGTCTGGGCTTGGAGCAGTGCTGAGAGGGCTTGGGGAGAGGATTGTAGTGGAGCTCCATCCCCATTCCACTCCTAGCAGCTCTCTGGCCATCCTCCTCCGTTTCTGCCACCCGGAACAGACAAGAAGGAGCTTTTCCAACCATCCCATGCCTCCATTGAGCTCGTTTAGGGGAGAGGCAGGTGTGGCTGAGCTAGGAAAAAAACTGGAGCAGACTGAGACGACTATGATACCAGTGCTGCTCCAGTGCCACTTCCTGCTCACGCCACCCTCTTCAGACTGCATCCCCTCCTCTGCTTCTTCCTGTTACTGCCTGCACGTCCTCTCTAAATCGGGGCGTATTTTGGAGGGCCAGAATGGAGGAAGCTGTAGGAGGGGATATGAGGCAGTTCATGAGGAAATGGGGAACGTTTTTTTTTTTTTCGGACGGGTGTGTTTATTATATTTAACAATGGCTAAGTCGAAACAAATGTGTGCATTTCAATGTTGAAATCGAATACTTTGTACAGTTAACCTTCCAGCAAGAACAAAAATACACCGGCAGAGACGGGATTAAATGATAATGGGTTTTAATTTGTACTTGTATCTGTCAGGGAAAACTAAAGTAGAGGAGTGAAACTAGTCTGTAACGTATACCTTTATGATGTGAATTTTAGTAAAGTTGCCTGTAATACCAATTCCAGATGTTTGGCTTTTAATGTTGCAGTTCCCTAAACAATTTCTTTTTCCATTAGCACCTGTGCTAGAAATTGACTATCTCATCTGTGGAGACTGTGGCAAAGAATTCATGGATTCGTACCTTATGCAGCACTTTGATTGGGCAACATGTGATAATTGCAGGTATTGCAAATAATCAGCAGAAGAAAGCTTTATGTAGAGATTGCTGGCTATGATAGAGTTAATTACAAATGTGCTGATTAATCAAAGAAGAGACGTTTATCAGTAATTTTAAATACTTACTGAAAAAGTAAACGGGTTGTGGGATTACCTGTATTTCCCCTTATGGGAGTGAAGAACAGCACATTGTCTCGTGAGCTTGTGTCGGGGTTAAGGAGCATCGGTGGGTTTTCTGGCGTTACCGTGGTGGAAACACGGTGTCTTAGAGGGCGAAAATGTGCTTGTCGGCGTGGAAGTGTGTTCGGTGTGGCAGACCACGGCTATGCAAAACGCTGATAGAACGCAGAGTACCCGCTTTCCGAAGCAGTGCGGGGATTAGGAGAGTATTTGCAGTCTTCGGGAATTAACCTGAGTAAAGTTAGTACTTTGATCAGCACAAGAGAGCCGGGAGCAGGGAGCCAAAGGGCAGAATCCCCGTGCGACGTTAGTGGGTTGAGCTGCACGGTAAGCAGGAGTTCGACCTTGGGCAGAAGACACTTATCTCAAACAGAAAATGCTCCAAAAGCCGCAGAGATAACCGGGGTAGTGAAACGGACTCCGAAGCAGCAGCCAACCAGCCATTAGTGTCAGAATGAATGGGGGAGGAAAAAAAAACAAAGCAGCTGGGAGTTTGTTCTGAGAGCTTCCCTGCTTACTACAGGGAGCGGCCAGGGTGTGCACATGGTGTGGGCAGCTCAGTCATTAGAGGCAAAGTGCTGTCTCCAAGATAAAGTGGGTGGATGGAGCTTGTCAAGCAGAGGGCTCCGAGGCTGAGGAGTGGTTTTCTGTCGGAGCTCTTGCAGCTGAGCACTAGCGATTTGTTGCTGCATTAGCTTTTACAGTGAACTTTGAATTCTAGTAAAGCTGCACTGGCGGCAGTGCTTCCTTGATGGCCGTTGCTAGCAATTACTGTTTGGCAGATTGTTCCGGCTCCAGCAATTCAAGTTACACTTCAGTCAGGATTGCGCAAATGTAGGGTTTTTTTTTTTCATTAACTCATAAACGTTGCTGTGGCTGCAGAGTTTTTCACGGACTGGTAAAATCTAAAGTCTTTATTGCATGGTTCCTCCGCCTATTTGCATTTGGAAGTGAGTGCACTGCCTGTGTTGCTAATCTGATTCTGGGATCTAGAAGCATATGGAGTGTGTATATTCTCAGGTGATCTGACCTGTCTTGCATTACGTATTCTTTCTCTTTTGACCATGTGTCAGGCTAGTGCTTTTTTCCTCTTGAGTTGCATCTGGGTTAGGTGAATACCTAAAATTATTCATGCTTTTTAAATTTCAGCTACTCCCTCTTACAAGAATGTGTAAGAAAAGCACTTCTAGAAAAACAGGCTTCTCGGCCTACGTGTGCTCAAATGGGAGAACTTTTAATTCCTGTAGACCCAGCCTGGAGTTTAGCTGTACATTGTCAGAATCTGAAGTTATTTGCATAAATAAAAAACTGAAAGGATGAGGGCAGCCTGTATTTCAGGAATGTTAGAAATGGTGGGGACTTAGATGTTAATAACAGGGTTTTCAGGTGCAGCTTTTTTGCTTTCCAGAGACACTGAAGATAAGCATAAGCTTATAACAAGGACAGAAGCAAAAGAAGAGTATCTTCTTAAAGACTGTGATTTGGATAAGAGGGAACCAGTGCTCAGATTCATTGTGAAGAAAAACCCTCATAATCCACGATGGGGTGACATGAAACTTTATTTAAAACCACAGGTACAGAAACTTAGTATATTTCAGAATTCTTTTTACCTTCTTACAACTTCGTTAGCCAAAATATTGTGCTTTGGTTCTGATTTCTGAATGATTTTGTCAAAATGAAGTATATTCTGGGTAGCTGGGGTAAATTTTCTGTATAGCTATAGAGCTGTGGTCCAAACTCATGGAAGTGTCTATGATTTGGGAGCATTGTAAAGATGTTCATGGCCCACAGCTCGGTGGTGTGCACAGCTGCAGGTCATGAAGCACATGGCCTTTCAGTGACACTGAAATGGTGTGGGGCAGCTGCTGCTGTGTGCAGTCCTTTGTAGCTGTGGCCTCGTGTTTGCAGCTCTCCCCTCAGAGGCAGCAGGAAAAGCTAGTAGGTTTTTCAGGGCTCTTGTCTTGTTTGCTACTTTTGTAGGTGTGCTTCTGCTTTAGTTGAGTATGTGCAAAATTAGATCTGGGTTTGAATTGTTTCATCTACTAATACTAAAAATCAGTGTTGCCTCTTACTGTGGAAGGAATGCATGTTTGCAGTCAAAAGTGAGAGACAAATGGGAGGCTGAGGCAAGATTGGGTTGGCTTGTGTAGGGGAAAAGAATTCCATTTGTGAGTTAGAACAGTTTACTTTTATAATTTCAGGGCAAAAAGAAACATTTATGTCCATCCTGTAGGTAATCAAGCGTTCCCTTGAAGTCTGGGGTAGTGAAGAATCATTGCAGGAAGCAAAGGAACTGCGCCGTGGTAACAGAGAGAAGATGAAACAGAAGAAGTTCGATAAGAAAGTTAAAGGTAAAGAGATGCTTACATATTCTAGTACCTGAACTGAAGTACAGTTCTGCTTGAATTTGTTTCTGCATCTGATGAAAGTATTCAGAATACTTTCAGTGTGGCAAAATGGAGGCTTTCAGGAGCTCTGTGGGTAAGCCCAGAGCAGTCTGGTCTGACCTCATAGCTGACTATTTTGGGCAGAGGGTTGGACCTCTGGTAGGGAGCTGAGGTCCTTTCCAACCTGAATTACCCTGTTCTCCTGTGGACATGGTATGAGAGAAATCAACTACAATGGTTCATTATGGTGCTTTAAATGTTTTTTTTTTCTTATTACCCAGAATGTGCCATAGTTTGTTTCTGTTACATTTTCTGATTTGGGGAGACTGGGGGTTATAATTCTGTCATGCATGTGCTTTCAGGTGGAGTAAATGTAAATGAATGTAGAAAATACCTTTTCCCACTGTTCACAGCATCCCCAGCTGCTGTTTTTACTGCTCATTATCCTTGTTTTTTCCTGAAAAATTAGTATTTAAGAGAGTGGAACTTCTTAAAAGTACTTTGAGCACAGACATGCTGAAATCTTAAGGAAGACCACGTGCTCCTTCATAAGAGCTGTGGCTTACCATGGTGTCTGTGCTGCCCATCTGTGCTTCTCTCTGGGTCGGCAGTCTCGGGGCAGAGCTCATACTGGCTGTACTGGTATTGTCTGGCAGGGGCCCAGCGTGAGGCTGAGCAAATAACCCGGCTGTGCTGTGCCGCGCTGTGTGTGCTGTGCGGTGCTGGCTGTGGCGCATGGGGGGACCAGGCCTCGGTGTAGGCAAGATGCCGGAGCAGAGTACAAGCACAGGCCTAAACATGATGGGGTGCGCAGCCCGAGCAGCTTGGCTCCGACATGGCGGCGTTGTGCTGCTCCTTGCGCTTGCAACATCCGGAGAAACATCCCGGGCTCGGCGGGCCCTGCTCGCCTGGAACCCGCCGGCTTCGCTGCGGCTGCTGCGGTGCAGCTCCCAGCACTGGGCCTGGAGCTGAGAGTGTCAGCTCATCCAGGAGGCTTGCTGTGACTAGAATGAGAAGTGCTCTGCCCTGCCCGGGTAAAACAAATGGGGTGTTCTTGCGAAAACTCTGCTGCGTTGCACTGACCCCTCTTGGATACCTTGGAATGGCGCTGTGTAAAAAGGCAGCGGGCAACGTGTATGTATTTCGTATGGAAAATCTTCCCCCGTGAGACAGCGTTGTCAGGCTAGTTCTCCTCCTTTAAAAGATGCAAACAAGGCAAAGGTTGCCAGGCAAGTCAGAGCTTGTTCCTGCAGTAGCAGATTCTCACCAAAATGTGCGGAAGACAGGCAACAGGCAGATTGGCATCTCTAGTCCTGGTTAGCTTGAGTGTAATTAACTATTGCTTAAGATTTACCAAAACCTTAAAATGTTCTTGTATTTCCCAACAGAACTCCGCCGTGCAGTGAGGAGTAGTCTGTGGAAGAAAAAAGCCAGTATCCACGAACATGAGTATGGACCAGAGGAAAACATTGACGAATCTACCTATAAAAAGACATGTACTGTATGTGGCCATGAATTAACTTACGAGAAGATGTAGTGATAATCATTCCCCCCGCCTTAATTATCTTTTTAATTGTATTTTGTATCGAAGTCAAATAAATGCAGATTATGAACAAGCTGTTGCCGAATTCTCTCAGGAATGGGGTTCATTGGTTGTAAGCAGCTCAGTCCACAAACAATACGCGTTGGGTTTTACGCTGGATCTGGCTGGTCCGGTTTGCTGCTACTGGGGGAGGGGGCCTCTGGCTGATACAACAACTTCCCTGCTGGTGGGAGACCTAGGCTGGGAGATTCGGCTCCATTAAAGGAGAGCGTTCCCAAGAGAAACGGCGCCTGCTCTGGGGAGGTTCTGACACGTCTCGGCGTGATTCATAAGGCAGAGTAGTTAGCGGTATCCTCCGCAGCGTTTCACCCCCCTAAGTTTCGGGCCAGAGACCGAGGCTACTCTCACATGGCAGCTCCGTCCGAAATTTGCAATTGAAAAGGGTAAATGCCTTTCCTCGGGGGCAGGAGGGAAGTGGCATTCCAAGGTAGATCTCTTAAGTGCACCCAACTGTTCGCTGTCAATGGAGGGTGGATTCGCTTTCAGGTGCAAATTTCGGGTCTTCACAGCTGTTGTGGAATGCTGATGGAAGTGACCGAAGTGAGGGGATACGCTCTGCGTTTGTTTGCCATTATGCACATAGCAAAAACCTGCGAAGTCTCCGGAGGCTCGGGGGAGCCCGGGCCCCCGCGGCTGTGAATTGAAACCCTTAAAGGCAGAGGTGCCGGAGCGGGGGGTGGGCAGGCGGCGATGGTCCCTGAACGAGCCTTCACTGCCCTCTCCAGGCAGGCCGCGCCCGGTGACCGGCCTCCCCCCACCACTGGGACCGGGGCACCTCTGGAGAAGGCCGGTGCTGGCGCAGCGCTGGGCCCCGTACCTCCTCTGCAGGGCCGGTGTGTGCTGGGCGCTGACTCACGGCCGGCGGGCATGCCGCTGCAAAGGCGCCCAGCCCGGCCCGGCCCGGCCCGGCCCGGCCCCGCAGCCGGGAGGCGGAAGGCAGAGGAGGGTTCCCCCGCCAGCCCCCACGGCACTGTCAGCACCACGCTTGCCTCGCCCGGCCCCCGGGAGGGCACGGGAGGCTGCTGGAGCAGCCCGCAGTGCCAGGAGAACCGTGGGCGGTGTATTAGTCAGGGGACCAGCCACGGCCCTGTGGAAACTGCTCCACCCCGGCCGCATGAACCCCAAACTAGCGCAACCCCCCCCCCCCCCCCATCATCGTTGTGTCAGAGCCCCCAGAAGCAGCAGGACAAACACTGCAGTAACAGCCTGGTTCACCTTCATTTATTTTTAATTGTGCATTTCTTCCCCCAACCGCACCACATTTCTACAGCATCTTTACACTACCCGCCACCCCCCCACGCTTCGGCAGTTGCAGGGTTGTCCAGTCAGCTGCTGGTATTGCTTTGTGAGCGTCCCCAGTGTGCCGGTCATGTCAGGTGTACAGCGCTGGACCCACAGAGAGGGGAAGGTGGCAGGAAATGTCATCACAGCCCATGAACGCCATGTAAATCAAATCGATTCTGAAAGACAGTGCTAGGTGGTTTTAAGTTGTAGGATTATGCGCTCAGGCATGTGCAACTGGATCTCAAGCACCCGTATTTGTCAAGGCTCAGAGGAAGTTACAGGTTTGTAAGTCTTAACTAACTGCATTATCAGTTTTATGGAAGTCACATTTATAGTCAGACCCCCACCATTAGCTAGTATCAGAACTCTTGACACTGGTCCAAGCCAGTGAAGAAACTATCAAAACCCAATTAAAATCTCTACAGTATTAAATGTTTCTTTAAAAAAGACCCAAACAGCTATTTTATTATTCAAGAACAGTAACAAAAAAAAAAAATATCTGAAGTATTAGCCTGTGCATGGCTGGCAAAACCCTTGCATAAAGCAAATTTACAACAAGTAACAGTATAACCCTGAAGTAACGGAAGGAAGAACCGAACCAGAAAAGGTAAAGCAGAGAAAAGAAGCAACAAATCTAATTCTATGAGGATATATGAGAATGCTATTGGCCACTTACAAACTTAGGTAAAAATAGGAAGCTCCATTTCTAACCCCCTTGGTTGATCAGGAGATCAGCTGATCCTGAAGTATTGCTGAAATACCTTAATAGGTACAGTGCTTAGAAAGCAAATAAATCATACAGGAACAGACTTGCTCAAAGCTCGTCTCTTTCTAAGCTTAAACTGAACAGCAATGGCTATGCAACCCTTTAAATATTCACCTGAAAAATCAAGAGGCTAAGAGCAGCCTGGAAATGCCCTGTATGCTAGCAAACTGGAGCACCTAAGGCAGCGCCTTACCATCTGTCACTGCTTACCCTAACAGACACTGCACTGGCTTGCTGTTTATGTACGTAATGTTATCTGTGTAACTCAAAACTGAGGCTACTCTATTCTCGGGTTGTTTTGCCTCCACTGTGAGATATCGCCTAATTCAGCGCTAAAATGTTTTCTGAAGACATGGGAACTGTCTGCTGTTACCACATGTTTAAACCAAGGGCACGGCCGCAGATGCAGATACTGCAAAGTTGCGGTTACTGAGCTAGATAAAGGGAGAGCACTTGGTTCATCCAGCACCATTACTGGGAAGATTTCTGGCATCCCTGCAGTCCAGCCTAGTGCAAGTGTGGCAGCCCAAGAGGCTGAAATACAGGAAGAAGCTGAAGCAGGTCCTGCCAGAAGCTGCCCTGGCACCAGGTGCTGCAGCTCCCAACACCCAGGTAGGGGCTGAAGCACGGAAGTCCCTGGTCTGTTCCGCTCCAGCCCTGGTTTGATGTCTCTGTGCACCAGTAAAGACTCCTGACAGGAGCAATGCATGACTCTTCGACCACACTGTGAGGAGGGCTGAGTTTTTCAGACGCTGCCCATGAAGCTCCTCTACCACTTCCTTGTAGCTGCTGTAACAAGACTCTACATAATAAGTTTAAAAACACATATTCCAACTGTATTAAAACCATGTTCTTCCAAACTGAGAATCTAGCTGGCTTGGTAACAAATCCAAATGCTCTATACTACTTTGAAAGCTTAAACTCAAGTGTTTCACATCCCCAAAGTTAAGACACTTTTTCTATGCCACACTAGAGAAGTTACCACACTTCACCGAGAAGGTGCATCCCTTTCATACTCACAAACCAGTATCAACTGTTTCTCATTTCTGTAATTCCTATGATTTAAGGGCCAGGCTAAGAAATTCTATTGTTCGAGGGCTTTTATGTCAGGGTGGGTTTTTTTGGCTTTTCTTTTTCTCCTGACTTTTATACAAATAAAAAACAAGAAATGAAAATACTATCATAAAGTCAAACCAACTTAAAAGATGAAGAAAATAGTTCTTACTTCACATCTATCCCCTATCAGCCACCTCTTATAAGGCTTATGATGCTTACACAGTTTGCTGTTGGTTAGAGTATTGTATTGTTTTATATTGGAGCACACGAAAGCCAGTTTTAGTCAAAAAATTTTTCTATCCCCATATCAAGTTTTATAATGTAAAAAAACCAAACATTAAATTCACTAAAGTCCTGCAGGCAAGACTCTGCCCGTGAATAATCCTCAAGCCTGCAGAGCACAGAACTGCTGAAACACAGCCAGTATATGGTGGTCCAGTTCAGCTGTAAACAGGAGGTTCTCTAGGGTAACCATGTATTGCTGGATGATCTGGTGATGCTGGCAAATAAAACAAACAAAACACGTTTAGTTTGTATTTGTGTAAGAACAAGCAGAGCGATCAAGACATGCAAGAATCACACGTCAAACGTTTTCGTTGAAGTTGCTAAGCATCTCTCATTTCCACAACACAGTAGCCACTGACAAGGCAAAGTCTGATGCTGAGCCACACTGACTGCAAGAAGAAAGCAAGTGCGGAAGTCCTGTTTGAAGAGCTCCTGTAGCTCCTTATTCCTGGATCCTGAATTGCGCACTGGATCCCACGCAACTGCAGAGATTCCTAAGAGAATCACGATACTTGCTTTCCTCTGGAGACAGACCTACTATCCATGAAGGGTTCAGCTCAGAGGGGAACTACACTACCAGTCCCATTCCTCTACAGTTCCACTCCTCATACAGGTGTAATTTTACATTCCTGTCACTTTCATGCAGCCACCTGTGCTTGTTACCTGATTTAATACAGAGCCGCCAAGAATTCAGAAATGACCTTTAATAGCTATTTATGCATCTTACTAGGAGGAATTCTGCAGTAATCCACTTATTTTAAAGCCATCTATTTTGCTATCCTAGTTTTCTCTCCATTTTGCCCGTACATGAACACAGTTAAGAGGGGCTCGGCAAAATTCCTAATCACACCTCGGTATCTTTTTGCAGCGTGCGCTCAGTGTGGGAACTGATCAAGAACCAGTTTCTCCACCAATCTGTGTCAGAGACGTGGCCAGAGGCAGTCACGTCCTTGCCCCACACCAGCCCCCACAGCAGCGTGTTACTGCCACCTACTGCTTCTTCCGGGCGCCGCGCCCTGCTCAAGGCACGGCGCTTTCCATCGGCACCCCCTCCATAAACCTACCTGTAGGAAGATCTGCTGCAACCTCTCTATACAACTCTTGTACCAGGGTGTGAATACATCAATTCCACCCGTCTCGCAGCGCACCAAGTGCTCAGTTAACAGCATAATGAAACGCTGCAGCAGAGGAAAAAGAAAAGAAGAAAAACAAACCTTAAGTTCCGTAAAATGAGGGACCCTAAACTCAGCTAAGAGGATCCGAGGGACAGCAGCTTTGACAGCAATGTGAGAATGATTATCTTTAGTTAATTTGTTTGGATAACACTGAGTTTAGTAAACAACTGCAATTCAGTTACCTTCTGACTGTTCTGGAAACTACACTAGCAGAGCTCACCTGGGCCCGAGCACTTGAAACTGAGCAGGTTTCTGCTCAGAAGCAGTCTTTGCAAGGGGATCATCTGGACTGATTCTAACCCATAGTAAACCCTTCAACCTTTTCCCATGTTTTTACTCCAAGAAGATGCCCAAGATTCCACTGACACTGAAAGCTTATAAATCCTGTCACATTAAAGCTTGAGAGGGAGAACAAGAGTGCCCATCACCTGGAAGATAACGAGGAAG